GTATGGCGTGTCAAAAAAAACCCCCATAGTATAGCATATCAATAAAAGCCAATAAATATCATAGTTTAGTATGCCAAAAAAAATCATAGTATATCATGTCATAAATCATGTCAAAAAAGGTTATAGTAAAGTATGCTATAATAAATTTCATACTGTAGTATGTCAAAAAACTGTCATAATATACTATGTCAAAAATGATTTCATAGTGTAGTATGTCAAAAAAAATGTCATAGTATTGCATGGCAAAAAATGTAACCGTATACTATGTCAAAAATGATTTCATAGTATATTATGTCAAAAGAAGTCATAGTATAGTATGTAAAAAAAGTCATAGTAGAATGTCAAAAAAAGAGTCATCGTATAGTATGTCGAAAAAAGTAAAACCCATCATTTTATAGTTTAACATAAAAATGTAATAGAGTACTAAGATGTAATAGAAAAATGCCATAAAATGTTATACAAAATTATGTCACAAAGAATGTTATAATATAGAATCAAATCAAATCAACTTTATTTATATGGCACTTTTCATAGGACAGTAACACAAAGTGCCTCACAGAGGTTAAAAACAACAAAGAACCAAAACAGAAAACAAAAAAGAAAAGAGAAAACCCAACCCCACATAGAGATACATAAGTACACACACACACACACACACACACACAAACACACACTAGCTATCACTAAAGAGACATGGCTGAGCACTGAGACCCGAGGCAAGGAAAAAGCCACCTCTGGGGACCGTCCACACTGTGAGGACCCACGGACCACGGCCACAGGGAGCGCCGCCGTAGAGACCACCCCGACCCGGGCAGACAGGAGGCTCCAAGTGCAGTGCCCTTCAGCCACCCAGGTCAGAGCTGTCCACGGGACAGCAGCCCCATCGGGAGACCAGGAACAACTCTTGTGCCAAAAAAGTCATAGTAAAGTATGACATAGAAAAGGTTATAATATAGTATGTCTAAAATATCACAATATAGGATACCATAAAAACAGAAATCATAAAAATATCACACTAGAGGGTGCAATTGAAAAAAAATATAGTATAGTATGTAGAAAGGAGTATAATACAGTATAAAGTCATTTTAAAAAGTCATAGTAAAGTATACCATATAAAATTACATCATTAAAAAAAAAGAAAAATACCATTAAATGTTACTAAAGTATGTCACAAAAAATGTCATGGCATAGAATACAAATATAATATGCCATAAAATTGTATAGTACAGTATGGCATAAAAATATTATAGTGGTATAGTACAGTATGCCATTAAAAATGATAGTATAGTTTGTCATAAAATATGTCGCTGTTGGCTCTGATTGATTATTCGGGTTACAATAATTTAATAATACATACTGCATAATTGCTCCTGTGAGACTGTACCATTTCTACCATTTGTACCATGTGAATACCTACTCCGAGACAGGGACTTGTTTAGCCTCTGTAAAAGTTCCGGAATTTGTATCACCGTCGATAGGAGTGAGGAGAATGCAGTTGTTAGTTTGGCCACTAGGTGTCAGTCTAACACACGGAACCATTGCAGCGAAGAAGAAAGTGCTTGTTATTGAAATGCAGCCAGAGCAGTGACAGGCTGAACGTAAGGAAGTACCACGGTAGGTGGCTAGAAATCATAAGATTTATCTATCAAAACATGGTGTATTCGTGACACACCGCCTTTAAAAAGTAGCTAAACGTCCGCTAGTATAGGAAACTGTTGGGCAAATGTCAAGGAGCTACTGCTTGAGCTAACTAAGCTAGCTAACGTGAGCTGACTACAAAGGGATGGTGGTTAGCTAGCTGCTGCTACACTGTATTTGCACACCGCAGTCATGAGTGAAGATGACGCTTCAGCTTCAGCAAACAAAGACAAAGACTCCACTCTCCTGCTCACTAAAGACGGACAGAGGTACTACGTGAGTAAAAGCGGAGTTGTCGACAGCAGAAACGTGATAACGCCGCACGAACCGGAGAACAACGCCTCCTCCTACGACGTGGATGATCCGGATGAGGAGAGCGACGTTCTGGACACGTCGGATCCCAGAGACGGCGCCGCCAGCCCGGAGGAACTCAACGACGAGGAGACCTCGGAAGGCGACAACGCTCCTAAACAGTGCACCTATGAGGGATGCACGGAGACCACAACGCAGGTGGCCAAGCAGAGGAAACCGTGGATGTGCAAGAAACACCGCAACAAGATGTACAAAGACAAGTACAAGAAGAAGAAGAGTGATCAGGCAATGTCCAGTGGGAAACTTGATGTAAAATTCAGCTTCATAATAATTTTAATGTCCATATGCATTTATTTGAACCCACCATGGTGTGGTGGAGACTTTCCATACTACAAACCATTGCATTACAACCATGTCTACATGTAGATGACTAAGGGACTGTTCGTTACGTGTGAGGGGGGAGGTGTGGTGCAAAGGGGGAGGCATGTCAAATTATTTTTTAAGCACTGGGGAGGGAATTTATATTTAAATGGTTGAATTTTGTGGCATGTTTTTTTTATTGACAAAATTACACCAATCATTGTAGCTAGAACCTGCATAAACTCAAACTATCATTTGATGTTCGAATTTCTGATGGCCCTTAAAATATTTCTGTCAAAAAACAAACAACCAAATCTGAGCTTAAAATAGTAAGTTGAAGGGCCTGTACCAATACCCACACTTCCCCTAGAAATACCCACTTGCACTTGGTTGTGTGCGTTCACGTTTAGGCTAGTGGTGTCCCAAACCAGAAATGAGGTAGTGGAAGTGGTTTCCAACACTTAAAGCCCGCCCTAGATTCCAAGGGAGCCCCGACCCACAGTTACAACGAAATGGAAGATGAAATTTCCCAGAACACCTTGCAAAGTCAGCAAATTCGGCAAGTTTTGGAAAACAATTTGTTACTGTACGATCGGAATGTAGGCTATACAAACAACAGATGGTTGGACTAGGGTAGACTCATCAGCAACTCAGTTGAACACAGCGTCAAAATATTTAAACAAATCGACTTACCTGAACAAAATCGATCAGAACTAGAAGATGTCGTAGGCGCCTCCTGTTTTCAGCATTTCTTCTCCGTTGATTCATCAGACGGAGAAGAATAAACATAGCACACGCCACAACACATGCGCTGGAGCCGGCATTTTAATTGCGTCGCTGCTATGCGTGACGTATGCCTGCACGTCGGCCACGCCGATTTGCATGAAGTGGTGTCCCATTTCTTAGGGAAAGATCTCTACCCTAATATTTCTCACTTCCCTCATCAAGGGTTATCTTGCAAACGAGGGCACTCAATACCAAGTGGAAGATTTAAGGGGTAGAAATGGGACAGGCCCCAAATATGGCCAAAAAGAACTCTTGTACTAACTAACCAGCATGCACGACAAAGGTGAAAAAATTCATTCATAATTCATAATAAAGATAAAAGTCACACCCCAGCCACCCCTCTCCTCTGACAAGAACAGTCCCTAAAGAGAAAGAAATTTAAGAGGCATAACCCAGTTTTTAGTGCATGACTTTACTCATTGAATCATGTGGTTCCCTGACCCTGTTTTCAGACTTTTCTGAACCACAATACAAACAAAACTCCCTCAGTTAATCACTTAATTTGTTTTTGTTTTTTTTGGTGTGTTAATTAGGAAAACTCAGAGGAGCGGCCTGTGTCTGTGAACAAACAGCGTCTGGGTGCCATGGGGGACCGGCCAGCCAGACCCTCCCTGATAGAGCAGGTCCTCAACCAGAAAAGATTGGTAAGTTATTGTTGTCATAAGAAAGTCATATGATCTGCACAATGCTCATACTCATCAACTACTCAGTGACCCCTCCCTTTGAGGAGATGTGTGGACTCAAGCTTAAGAGACAGTTTTTAATGTATAGAAGAACTTTGGCTCAAGGTGTTCCTCTTCCCTACAAATGCAAAAGAATACAAACAGGTGTTTTATCTGCAGAGATATGTCACATTTTGCTTTGAAATTTGAATGTGTGTGTTTGTGTGTGTCCTTCAGTCACTGCTCAGAAGTCCAGAGGTGATCAGCTTCCTGCAGCAGCAGCAGCAGCTCCTGGCCACACAGAGCCGCAGCCAGTCACAGCAGCAGTTTCAGGGCTGTTGATGCCGGTCGGGCCGTGTTTTACCTTAGTATTTATGATGCATAGAGAGCACTGAAGAATCACTGGCACATCATGCGTAAAAGGATTGTAACCATACACTGTAAACACGAATGCTCTCATCCAGACAGAGGAAGGATTAACATGGAAACCAAGGGACGTTTTAAAGGCATGGTAAACATGAGGGCTTGAATTTCTAAGCTGCAAAATGACCATGTAATCAAACCATGTGTGGTGCTATTTATTATCATATTTACTCATTGTGAATTTACTTTTCAGTCCCCTGTCTTTCTTTTAGTTATCTTTCTTCATGTGGCAATAATAATAATGATAATAAAGGCTTTGGATTATACATGTCCCATCTAAATCATTCAGATGTTGGAGCCTCAGTTCTCCAACAAAATAATCCTGTGGGCTCAATGTGATCCTTGTTTTCCACTGCTGAAAAAAATAACAGTTTCTTTGTGTGTTTGATTTCTTTCCTATCTGTTTTCTCTTGAACATTAAGTGTTGTTACATGTGACAATCAGTTGTGCAATGCATGTCTGGAGCCGCTTTTCAGTCACATGGGGCTGTAAGGACTCATTTTTATCACACGATTTTATATACCTGCTTATCTGAAGCCAGCCAAACAGTAAATTCCAACTGCATCCAAAAAGTAAGACAAATTAAGTTTGTTGAGATGAATATTGGTCATGCAAGCTTTGTTGAACTGTAATCTACTGTATGTTGTTCCTGTGTTTTTAAGTCGAAGTGTATCGGTGAATATGAGAGTAAAATTATGCTGCAAATATTGAGAGAATGAGCAATGTCTCAGACTGTGTGCTTGTATTGCAACGTGATACTTCATTCTTTAACATGAGGAAATGGCTGTATGAATTAAAGGGTTGTAAAAATACGGAATCTTACAGAAAAAACAACTTTAATGATACAAGTAAAAAGCAAACAGTACATGAAGTCAACACATGGAAGTACAGTACATACAACTGTAATAACATTTACAACAAGTAATAACACAAATCTTTGAGTACCTACAAATATATCCCATTTTGTCTTGTCTTGGAGTGCAGCTAATGTCCCGATAACAACAGAGACGATAAATGCTTTATCACAGTCTCACTGAAATTAAGGAACTCTTAATTATTTAACATGAGCTATAAATATCACAATTTCAGTTATGCTGCATGATGAGACAAATCTGTGAGTGACCGATAATTTTGTTTGAGATGTTAAAAGAAGGACCACTGGACAGAAAACCCAGACATAGCAGAACATACAATCTACGACTACCTGTGTGAAGGATGAACAGCACACACCTGTGTCCATCTTATGACACCGAAGAGATAGGGTTGTGAGGGGAGCCCATCTGTGTCAGGACCTTGTCCAGCCACTGCAGGGGCCCGTGCAGGTGTACCTCGATCCAGCAGGGGGTGCTGGTCACATCTTGACGGTGGTATTCGGCACCCCAGCCCTGAGGAGAGGACACAGTCATAAATCTTGGCTGCTCATGTTGACAGTTCAATTAACTATTAAAATTAATGGGTTCTAAGTGAGCAAGTGTAATCCCACCTTGTGTACAGAAGGATTTGACATGCTCAACAGCACATCAAGCCCAAAATAAACAGCGTATTAAGTTACGATGAGAAACCTTGAGAGGTTATTCAACCCTTCCTAATGAGCCGTGTCAGTATCAAGCGGAATTATGGGAAGAAAGAATGCTCGCCACTTGCATTTCTGTGGCTACATGTCACCTATTCCCAAGTGTTTCATTTTATAAAAAGCTCAGTACCTTCACAAAGCTCATGCGGATGGTACACATCTTAGTGAGCTCATAGACGACCTCAAAGCCGTGGTTAACAGACTGGGCGAGGAGCTGGGCGAACAGCTGGTTGTTGAAGATCTTGAGGCTGCAGCCGCTGGGGATCTTGCACACGGTGGTGGCGTGGAAGCCGTGCTGGAAATTGCAGTTGCGGCTCTGGACAAATATGCTGCTGTCGCTCAGACACTCTGCGTACACCTCACCGCCCACATAGTACAGGTGTAAACCTGAGAGGAAGAATGGAAGAGAAAATCAGACAGTCTGAAATGATAAAGTTGAGACCAAGTGAATAAACAACCGGAATGTTTAGAACTTTGCACCACAGTAAAATGACTGTTTTTTTCCCTTTTGCAAACACTTAAAATGTCATAGCATGTCAAAAGCTCATAAAAAAAAACAGCATTTATCCAAGAAAACATATAATCAAAGATATACATATTCAATCACTTCATTGTATATGAACTGAAAACACTGTGTTTTTCCCATATTCTGCCAGAGGAAAACCACAAGGGCATCATTGCTTGTAAATGAGGAATGTCTGAGTAGTGTCAGTGGTGTCTGTGAGTTGGGGACCAGTTTCCCTCAACCCTTTGTGTCACCACTATCATTCAAAACCACAGAGTGCAAAGTTTACTGTAACCCAGAGAGGCTTGATTTCTGTCCAACAAAGGCAGGCTTTCTGCACTCTTTTCCCATGAGACGAAAAAACACATTTGGCCTGAAGGATTCAGCACAAGGAGACAAGCTGAGTGTGAAGCCTGAAGTGATGTGATTGCTTATCAAGGCACATGCACTCAGTGGGCATCGATAAAAAAACATTGCGTAGAATCATGTTTGCGAACAACCTTTCCCTCGGCTCGAGCTTTCGCCTGATGTATGATGATACAAGTGTGTGTTCTGATATGAATTACCTGCCTGAGTCGTCCAGCCTACCTTTGCCTATGTGCCTGCGTGTGTGTTCGATGGTGGAGTTGCGGTTGACATTGGATAGCAGGCCGAGGCAGAAGCGGTTCTTGTTGTTGGATGGGTCCGTGAAGCCGTCCACCAAGACGCTGCGGGACGACGCGTGGAAAGTCTCCCCCACCCGGTTGTTGAGCTCGTAATAAGCCACTGAACACCAGTACTCCGGTTCCTCGTAACATACAGGCCGTAAATCTACACAGGAATGCAAGGATGGGCTGACTTAGAGGTGGGCATTATGAATAAAATATATATAATATATATAATATGCTGTGGTCTATTTCATTTTAGATACTCGCAAAAATGTGCAACATTACCTGCAGCTATAGAGATTTGTTTCTCAGTATAAACAGTGTGACAACAGCTATCCGTAGACACATTCATCTCATTGCTTGTTACTTTAAGTAATACTTCATCCCCAAAGGACCATTCTTTGCGTCTGCAGTGTGTTTGTGTTATTGTGTGACGTTGGTGGATCTGAGCTAACCCTTTATACCAGAGATTCTCAAATGGTCCGGCCACAGGGTCCAGATTTCTCCTTAGTTGTTAGTTCAAGTCCCACACAGTTAATATATTCAATGCCATACTTGCGTTTGTCTGTTCGTAGAGCTAGTTTGCTGTCTCTCGCCCTTTTTAAATAGGAATTGTGCAAATTTGCAGGAAAGCCCAATCAGTCTTTTTTCAGCATTGGCAGTATAAAAACTAAATCAGGGAGTGCAGCAAAATGCCGCCTGCCTAATTTTGTTTATACTGAATGTGCCTTTTTCAGGGCAATGGGGGGCGTGAGCAAGTAACAAAACGTGTAGCTCAGCATGTGACATAACCAGTGACGTGGGAGGGAAGCCGCGGCTGGTCAGTCCTTTGGCGATTCTCTTGTAAGTTGGCCCGTTCCTCACCGTCCCCGTCATCTGATGGTTAATGGCCTCTTCGTTTGCGAGGACAAGGAGGCTGCGCAATTCCTTGTCTCCCCAGTTGCTCATCTTTACAGTGTCTGTCAGGTTTGCATTTCCCTCTTGCTACTAGCTGCTCGCTAATTCCTGCTATCAGCAGTTTCCTGTTTATCCACCGCCAGTGGCTCGCATGTGCGGTGTCATCAATAGCTCCTCCCACAAGTCATCAACAGCCCCATCCCGTTGAGGAAGGCTGCCTTGTTCTGTTTAAACTAAAAGGGTTCCGCCAATATGACTACCCTTTTAGGCGGAAAATTAGGCACCTCGGATCAACTCACCAATCCAGCTCTGTGTGTCTAAACGCTCGCAGCTTGCCGGCAAAACGGCCCAACATTCGCAGAAAATCTGGCAGTGTAAAAGGGGCTTCTTTCAAGTGGCTGTCCGTTACACAGCTGTCACTCACTCTACAGGAGGAAACAGCACTTCAAAATAAAACTTGACACATTTGCGAGTTGCTTCTGGTCCATTCAGAATGGACCCGTGACCCAGTTTTGGACCACGACCCACCAGTTGGGAACCACTGCTTTAAAGCACCAAAGTCACACAATAACACAAACAAACTACTGATCTCGGCAGCAGTAGAGCAGCTCCTGTGATCACCTAGGTAATATTATATTTTGTCAGTGGAATCTGGCTTTGAAGAGAGCATAGATAAGTTTCACTTTCTGTTCAGTTCCCTTTTGGGAAGGACTGTCTCTTTGGGAATAACTGAGCGTACGACTGGATAAATGAGACTTGGATTATACAGTGTTGTTAAATGCAGATCCCTATGACTTCATTTCATCAAGAGTTTCTCCCTCTTTAGATGCTTCGTTCACCATAGAGGTGGGAAAAACTGTCTTGACTAATTTAATGTAACACGGGGTGAGTAATCAATATGAAAATGGTCATTTTGGGGGTGAAGCATTCCTTTAATATGCATGCATTTCTATTTTCTGTACATCTCCTTGTATTAGATAAGGTACCTCTGTGTGGAGCTGAGAATGTGAGTTTGATGGGTTCTGTGGAGTTGCTGGGCTTCACATCCTCTGGAGGACTCGTCTCCATCATGCTGTACGGAGGTGGGGGAGTCTCAGCTGGAGAAGCATGTCACAAATCACAGGAAGAGGACAAGAGGGGAACGTAATTAATGTGCATGATTAAGTCAGAAACCTGGTAGCGTGACAGGTGTTTCCCTGCAAGTCACACTGACCGCAACATATCAGCTTGCTTGTTTTGATTCCTACCTGTGATGTGATACGGGCTGCCAGGCTCTGCGGAGCTGTTGGGGGAGTTGGGGTAACTCTGTGAGGTGGGGGACTGGGCGAGGGAGGAAGAAGGGGAGGAGGAGAAGGAGGAACAGGGCAGTGCGGGGAAGGAGTCTGGGTAGGTGGCGTTCTGGGGCATCAGAGGCTCGTTGTGCAGGGAGGCGTTCCTGAACTTTGCCAGTAAACTGTGTTGAGGGTTGAACTCGCTGTGGCGTGGGACCAGAACTGGTGGCAGCACTGAGAGAAGATGAGAGAGGGGAAAAGAAAAAAGGTAGAGAGGGAGGGAACAGAGACAAAGAGAGACTCAGAGCAAGAGCCAGATGCTGTTATAAAAGATCATATTACTGCAAATCCTTTTGGCTTGGGAGCGCTGTATTAGATCAAATGTCCTGTCTCTGTTTGGGAACCCACAAAAGCTTTACTGTTATGATACTGAAATTCAACAATGATCTTATTTGTTACAGCAGGTTTAGAAGATGTTCTCTGATAATGTGTGTACCTGGAGTCTCCACGCGCCTGTAGTGGTAAGGGTTGACACAGATGTCCTTCTGCTTGGAGCCGAAGGGGAACTCGCAGCACTCCAGGGCTTTCAGCTCGTGGTGGGACTGCAGGTCGGGCCAGCGCCACACCCTGCAGTAGATGACATGGGGCAGTCCCTTCCTGTGGGACACCTGCAACCTGCCGTCCAGCGACCGTGGAATGGTCACGCACTTGCCTGAAGGATTCAAATGAAACAGCATGGACTTCATCACAGCTTTGTAGAAATGGGCAGATTGTATTGTGTGTTTAAACCTCTGTTGTTTGACGCCTTAATCATGATGAGACACATTTGTTACCATGACGATATGATAGAAATTAACACTCAGCACTTTGTCTAGTATTTTTAATACAGTTACTACACCTCACGCAGTTTTAAAATGGAAGTCTGCAGGGTACAAAGAGATCATTGGAAGCTTACAAGTTAAACAGAAACTCTGCTGTGCTTTGAATTTACAACTGATCTACTTGTATGAGATGTCCGTCCTCACTTAACCTGAAGGCTCTGCAGGGTAAGTCACTCTACAGGTGATTTAAATGATCATCAAACAAGTACAATTTCACATTTCAGGCTTTAAGTAACAGGATTTTTTTCCATAGCAGCTTAAAATAGTCATCCTGTGCAAGGACACATTGGCATATAGCATCTGTTGCCATCAAACACGTGACTTCACACATATAAAACATACTCTTTACTAACTGGACGAGGGGTTCCCAATATTTTGACCACTAAAATAAAGCAGTACTTATCACATGTTGCATATTGTCAGTTAGCTGCAGGGGACTTTTCCCTCTTAAACTGTTTTATTTGGATAATTCTTAGAGGCCCTCAGAGGTAAATTAAAGTAATTATTTGGTGTAGCGGAAGTTTGTCTTATTCCCTATCCTGTAAATAATCTTAAAGTCCCTCATGTTCATCTTGTGACTCTCTCCTGGGGGGCCCTCCAGATTTGGAGCCGCTGGACTACACTACTACTGAATGTTTGACACTGTGACACTCACTGGGCTGTCCTGGGCAGCTGAGGGCTCTCTCCAGCTCCTCCATTGCCCCCTTCTTCTTCTTTAGTTTCTTCACTAGAGAATCTACAGCCTTCTCCGCCCACTTCTCCTCCTCATCCCCTTGTTTCCAGCCAAGCAGACGCTTCACCGCCGGGCTGGTGAAGGAGAATAGGGATGTAATGGAGGCAGAGGAGTTCATTATGAGATGAGTAAACGCTGGGGGGGGGGGGGGCCAGATGACGTGATGGATGCTGTTAAAGGGGGATAAAACTTCCCTTGAGGACAGGAGGCAAATGATGAGAAGCCAGGACAGAAGTAAGGATAAAAGAGGCAGCGTGATGAGTCTGTGTAAACAGAGGCTGTTTTTGTATTCCGCTGTGACTTCCGCACAGCGCCCAGTGGAGGAGTTGAACTTCCCCCAGTGCAGCACAAACTCTAAATCCCCCCTCTCTGTGTTGGCACAAAAGGGATCCGGCAGCTCTGGATTCGAAGCCTCCTGCAGGGAAGGTTGTTCCTCGCACAGTCAGAATTCCAGGTCAAGTTTCAATCATCTGGCAAGAGAAGAGAGAGATAGTATTAACTGCTAATTTAGCTGAAACAGATGCATGGCTGGAGAAAGAGTCCAGCGGTTAGGTAGAAAAGAGACCTTGGGATTTAATTGTGAGGAGAATCCACCCAAAGTCACTGAGGTGATAAGCTGGAGCGATGACAGCCAGCAGAGTCAAGTCAAAGACTGAACGCCACATGAGCAAACTCTACTCATATTTAACAATGTGGGAATTAGAGGTGGATTTCCATGATAAGGAGGCAGCGATACAGAGACCATGCCTGCATCGAACTGAACTCCTACAAGCTGCACAACAAGCTTATTATTCTCTATGGAGAAAAAACGCACCAAAAACGGTCTAAGAAAGAGCAGGGCGAGATGGCCAAGCTCATTTCTAGATTCACCAACAATGAGGAATGTCCTTTCTGGCCTCTGTTTCTATGATCATGCCACTGACGCCCAGGAGCCATACTGTCTGGCCAGAACACATCACAGGACAGGAGGGGGAGAGGGAGGGAGGCAGACAGAGAGAGGGAGAGAGCTCTCCCTGTTTTTGTGTTTGTCTGTGTCCATCTAAAAGCTAGGTGGTATAGAAGACATAGAGTATAGTATAAACTATTTAGTCTATCCCACTTTATTTGGGTGGTCTACTTGTGTTCTTATCCATCAGTGTGCATCACTCTTACTAATAAATCACTCCAACTTTTCCCAAATATTCATACAGTAAAGTATGTCCGAAACTCAACAGCAAGTTTATAATGGTGATCCACTTGTTTTATCTCCTGTAGCACAACGTCCGGGTACAGAGTATCATGTTTGACCCAAAGTTTTTGTAGTAAATCCATTTTGCATGTCAGATTATAACCGCTTGTTTGCTCGTTCTGCTCTCCTCCTCTTGGCAGGCAAAAAGTCTAAAAAGGTGAATTTAAGGCAAAGCTTCTGACTTAGTCATAATATTCTAAAACACACAATCACATCACAGTTTCCACTTAAATTTAAGACTCTGTGGCTTCCCAAAAGGATGCATCTGAAAATACACACACAGGTAATAAGTAGTGTGAATCAGCATACCTACATTATGTCCCGTGCTCATGTGACCAACACCGGTTTACCGCAGACAAACAAGACAGCTGGGGTTTACAATGACAGCAAAAGCGCACGGGCTCAATGCGGCATCAGTCTGCCGCTGCTGCTGCTTTATGGAGGCTGGCGTCACTCAGTCTGCAGGCTCAGATAGGCTAATTACCTAATGCTTTATCACCAGGACACCCCTTCCCAAAAAAGTAAACACGCCAGCTTCCTTTTACTACGGCAGCAGAGAGTCGCTTTGCCACTACAAGATCCAGGATCTGCCCAAATCTCCAGACGCACACCTTGATGGTAGAAGCCTGGCATCCAAACTTGCTATAGTTTGATGACATGTCACTGTAAACCCAAGTTCAACCAGTCACTGAAGTACATCTATTAAAAAGTACTCTGATTACACTTTTTAAATATTCTTTAATTTGTGTTAAAAGTAGTAAATCCATGTATTGATCACTGATCCATACTCAGCTGTAACATTATATTCTTCTACAACCAGTCATGTCAACATGTGAAAGTCATAGAGCAATACTGAATCCACAAAAAGTTGCATGTCACAACCCCCGTCTTAAAATATTCAACTTGGCAACAAATGCACAACATTGAACATAAAAAAACAAACTCTAAATCTCTGGAAATATTTAATGTGTTCATTTACTCACCTCTGTTGTGATAACAAGTGCACCGCAGACAGACTTATGCGTGTGGAGACTTCCCTGTAGTCTGTAGTAGGTCGAGCCAGCACACTGGAGCTGCGAAGGTGTGTGTGTGTGTGTGTGTGTGTGTGTGTGCGTGTGTTGACGTTGAAGTGTCAAGTCAGCCTCAGAAAACATTGCATCTACTTGCACGTTTCAAAATAAAAGCGTCCTTGCCTGAGTGTAGCCTATGTGTCGCAAGGTGTCAGCCGATAAAGAGAATGGGGCTATACATTTAATCTGCTATGATTTTACATGTGTGTACACTCAGTTAGATGGTGGTGGCCAACTATGGCTTCATAAACAAGTGCAAGTTGCTTAAAAAAATGAAACAATTGCGATGATATCATATTAATACTCCCTGTTTAATAAAACACTGCAGTTAATATAGAGCCTAGAGAATAATTTATAATTTATGGATAGCAGTTAGAACAAAATATGCAAATATTTGGTATATACATCCTCCTGGGACCCGAACTTTTGTTTGGTGTGCTTTTTTAATTTGTCCTAGCTATTTGGGATCAGTGGGACCCTACAAGTATAAAAAACTAAACGTTGTTAACGATAATTAAGTCACAATTTCCCAAAAGGAGACAAAAATAAAGTCGTGATGCCTTCAAACGACTACTTCCTAATTAACGGCATCTTATCTTGTTACTGTTGCTAAAAACTGGTCAAATTTCTTGCCATAAGATAGGACAGAAATGTGTCCACGGTTGAGGACAACATGTCTCAGTTAAGTAGAATGAAGTATAAAGTCAAGTGAACTGAAAATGTGTTGTCCTCAAATGAGGATGCAGGGTCTCAGGAGAATATAATATTTTGGCATATGACAGCTACACAGTATAGACCTTGTGTCCTCATATGAGGACATCACATTTTGGGTTTACTTGACCTTATACTTTATTTTACTTAACTTAGACCTGTTGACCTCATTCGTAGACATTTTTTTGTGCCATATAATGGCAGTAAGAGCACAATATACTTGTAATGTAAAAACAAGATGGCAGCCATCTCTGCTAAGTCAGTCTGCAGCCGATCCCGACACAGAAGTCAACAAACCCTGATCACATTTTATGGTTAAAACTGTTTATTTGTGATGTTTGCATTTGATATGGCAAACATTTGACCAATTTTAGCAACAGTAACAAGCTCAGACACTGTTAATTAGGAAGGACTTGTCTGAAGACATGGGGACTTTATTATCGTCTCATTTGAGGACATTGGGACTTGATTAGTGTTGACAACGTTTCTTTTTTTTTTTTTTTAACTTATCAGGTCCTACTGATCCCAAATTATTAAGAGGGATAAGAAGTGCATATACCAAACAAACGTTTGGGTCTCAGGAGGTTATGTTTTTGGTTAAAGGGGCCTAGCTCTGCTTCAATATAATGGGTTTAGATTACATTAATAATTCCACACAGAATCATAGTATTCATAATGTAAACAAAGTAACAAACAAATAACTAAATAAATCTTACTTTCCTCTGAGTTGAAGCAACCAAGAAACATCCAAACATGCAATAGTAAATGAAAAACAACAATAACAAAAAAACTTAAAAACAATCAATGTGTATACATAATTATAGTAAGTGAATATATTGATTGACTGATTTTATTTATTTAAGTGTCGTGCACCAAGTGGTGCCCAGCCTATATGGGCTTACAAGACACTAAACAGAACAACAGCCTGCATATAATCAGCAAATCAAATATCTGATTATTAGGCCCGTATTTTACCTACTTTTACAGTGCATCATTTAGGTCTATATGCAAATGTACACAATCAATACATTTCTTTATACCTTTTTTTCTTTAGCAACAAATATATGACTCACACATTTTTCCAAGTGGCAGACTCCCGACACTATGAGCCGAAACTAAAATCTCCGCTTTTATTTTGACGGTCCAGCCGCACCATTTTCCGGTCCTGTCCCGGCAGCGTGCTGCTACATTGACGAAGGTTTGCAGAGCCCGGAGCCTCCGCTCCTCCAGCAGCCCCAGCCGAGCGCCACACAGCCTCGGCGGCGTCAGCCTGGCTGGAACCGCAGCGCCTGCATGCAAGATCCCTCCGCCTTCCCCCTCCTGGAACTTTCCCAGGATTTCAGGGATTTCATTCAGGCCCCGCAGCTGCATGCATGTGGGCGCGTGCGTGTGGGTGCGTCCCACCTGAGCCTTGCCCAGTCTCCTACTGCAGACATACAGTTGTTGGCGCTAAGTACGGGAGGCCAGGAATAAAAACAATCCCACCTGTTCCTCTTTATAGACCATTGTAATGAATGGATAGTGACAAATGGTGCAGCGGGACCAGTCTGATAGTGCTGTCACAGTGTGTTTGTGTACCTGCATCATTCAGAAAGTCTTGTATTAATGTTTTGTCATTTGTTTGCTCACATCTGGTATAATATTTATAAGGAATAAAGTGGCGGATCTCACTGCAATTAAGATGAAAGGGACTCACAGCAGGCTGCTATTTGCCTATGGTGTGTAATTTAGATTACAGGTGCTGTGAGCTTGTGTTTAACTGGTGTAAAATCAGTAATTGTTTAGCTTTTATATAAGCGTGTAAAGTTATGTAGCATTTCCAGCCGGGATCTAATAAAATAAACCATTAAATAGCCTACATGATTAAATATCAATTTCGGCTATTACTTTCACGTGCACGCGCGCACACGCACACACTGCACCTGTTGTAAAAGCAGGAACAATCCGCCGTTGTCCACTGCAATTTAATGATGCTGTGAAATCAGCCCCCATTTTTCTTTTAAAATCGATACTGTGTCATTATCTATTGTTGGGAGCCACACAGAGGTCTTTCTCATTGCGGATGGATACGATCCTTTATTGGGAGTGCCGTGACTAGTCCAGTTAATGACGCAAGCCCGGCTGGCGACAGTGAGTCTACAAGTTTGACATTTTCAGTTTACAGCAACTGCTGCAGAACGTAACAATACTCCCAACACGAAGTGAAAGCACTCTGGGGATCCTGTCAAAAACCGTATGCTTCTCTTTGTTTTTTCCAACCACCACCAGGTGGATGATCAGAATGCAACACAGCCGGTGTGCCACAAATAGGTGGGGGACTATCAGAAGCCAGTGGTTTCCAAAGTCTGGTCCGGGGACCCCCAGGGAAGCCACTAGGAGGGGACTGTTCAAGGTTTAGAAATGAGCAACACTACATGTGCTCTCTCACAAATAACATTTATTCTGACATCACAGATCAATAAAATAGAGCCCATGTTTAAATCTTTAACTCCTCACCTCTTCACTTAAGAGCTCCTGAGACAGGAAACTAGAAAAAGAGCAGCCAGATTGTGATTCATCAGCTCTCTTGAGTCTCGTCTGGTCGCAGGCAGACAGACAGTCATGGCACAAACAGGATGCGCTCCCCAGGGCTCAGAGGGGCCCCAGAGACATCCGCATCAGTGCGAGCCCCAGACCTCAGGCTTGCATAAGAAAACAGCACTTTGAAGAACTTCATTTACTCCGACCACAAAAACGCTCGCTGGACACTTTCCAAGAAGATGTCCGCATGAGGTTTATGAGACAGGCGAAGGGATGACTTAAGTGAGATAAATAATGTAGTCCAGGGTTTCCCGCTATTTCATGTCAAAGACACGCCAAACTCATGATAATGCAGCTCCCTCACTCTGCTGTAATATTTCATACAGTGGATCCAAGCTGACTTTATATGAGGATTTCAGCTGTTAAATCTAATTTAACACTAAATTAAATTAACAGTGAGCGATGTCTGATCCTGCAGATTTCTCGTAAGAATATTTAACAGATATGTTCCTCAGCTTCCTCTAAGGAGGAAGCTGACAGTGCACCCTGTGTGTTAATATAGTCCATGTGATAGATTTTGCAGTGAGATGCCAAACACTTCAAGAAACATCAGCAGGGTGAGGCTGTGTGTGTGACTGCACAGACACAAAGCTGACTGATAGTAGATCAAAATATATAACCTATCAAAGTGTCAAATGTTATCAGAATGTTAGAGACAGTGTATGAAGTCTTGATCCTGATCTGTGACACTGACAATAATATTCACCTACATTAGGTGCACTATTACGCACAGTACTGCTTATATCTTGTGCAGTATTATTCTATATTCTTCTTCTAGTAACTCTTGTACTTGTAATACTCCTATTGTTACTCTATTAGGCACTAGTTTTTGCTTTTGTTCCAAGAAAACACTTCTGTCTTGTTTATTTATATATTCTACCAGATATTTATTACTGTATTGTTAGATATTTATTACTTTTTTTATTTTATTTTATTATTTTTTATTAAATATTTATTTTTTCTATTTTCATTATTATTTTCAATTCATTCCTATTTTTTATTATTGTTAGATATTTATTATTATTATTTCTATTTTAATTATTTTTGTATTACATTATATATTTATTATTTCTAATTTTTGTTCTTATTTTTAATTTATTCTTATTTTTTATTATTATTAGATATTTATGACCAGATTTATTACATTTATTACTCTATTGTTTTGGGCCCAGTGCGTGACTCTGACCCGGGGAACCCGCTGGTTGTCTTGTTGTTACTGGTTGTGGCTATTGTACTTGGTGCTACTGTAATCTGAAGCATTCTCTGGCACAAGAATTTCCTTCGGGATAAATAAAGTTCTACTGAATTGAATTGAAGCAAATCTTGAGCTTTATGGGAAATCATTGGTTCAGTCCTGCTTTGTTACAAACAAGTTTACACTGCGAGTAACTCACTTAGCTTTACGATTTGAAAAAAGACATCAGATCTTCTTGAGCACAGCTTGAACTGGTCCAAACTCTGTCTGGCTTGATGCCACATTATGGTTGAGTCTCAGGTCTGTAGTGCAGAAATGTGTGGCAACAAAGTGTCTGAGAAATTAGTGCACATTTTGCTTAATCTTTATTTTACATGTTTATATTCTCTGGTTTGTGACCTCTATCTTTTTAGAATTCTCTTTTCTTCCTCCTGTTAAGCACTACGTAGCTTCTGTGTTGAAAGCTGCTGTATAAAGTTTGTTTTTACATTGTAAGCAGTCAGGCTGCAACAATTATTTATTATGGTGACAACATTAAATGTCTTGTTTTGACCCCATAACATACCGTAAAACTTCAATCAGTAGCCCAGGCTATTATTTGCTCAAATCACTGAAATCAACAGGCCTATGTTTGGGACAGGCCTTTAATTCCTTTCACACAAAACTGTTGCTCAGCAAAGATGGGAAATACAATGTAATTGTTTATGTAAACCAGTATGAATATTACTTGCATAAAAATTAGCCTTCAGATAACATATAAATTATGAATCATTAATTTGATCTAACTCCGACAGACAATGCATCATCGGGACAGTGAGTTACGGCGCCCAGCACACTGACACAACACCACTTTCTCCTGTTAAAACAATACTCACAACTTGGATTGATTTTTATGAAAAACCCTTTGATTATTTTGATCAGAGGACCCTTATGGACTAAAGGAATATGAGTAACTTACAGGGTAATGGAGGAATGGACACATAATTTGAGACAGCCAACAACCTGCTTTTATACATCTGTAGAACTTCTATAAAAAAATATGAACTGCTTGGCAACCAGACCAGGCCTCTAATTGAGACAGGCCTTTGTTTGTCAAAATGTGTAGCCACACGGGGCTAGTAAAAGAGACTGGGCTTTTAATTGAAATTTTACGGTACATTTAACGTAAGGCCGAAGAATAAAGTCAATTCTAACATTTGACAATTTAGAATCATAAAATGTTTGGCATTTTTACAAAGAAAAAAAAAGATGAAAACAATTAATCAATTAAAAATAGTTGCAGATTAAAGGTATACTATGCAGGATCTTTTGGTCCTGTTTGTAAACATACTCTCCAGCAAAAGTGAAAGTAAAAGCCAACCCCAGATTCACTCTCATTCTGTGTTACACCTCACTATATTTGCTTTCTTTCAGTGTGGTGTCTCTTGGATGTCTGATGCTTATGGCCTGGCACCTGGTTGATACCTTTTTATAAACCCCTGACCTCACCTGAGCGCTGTGGGGGTGCACACTTGTAAACATCCAAAACACAGAAAATAGGAATATATAGAGACAGAGGGTGCAGTCTCTGCCCCCTGGTTGTAAGTGGTCATTTAAAGGGATTACTTCTGTATGAGTCTCTACATTCCTTTGTAGGAGAATAATGTAGAACATATCTTTAATTTCCATTGTCTGACTAATCATTTAAATGACTTGTTGTTGCAGCTGTTATTAGTGCATGAATAATGATTATCACATCATAAATCATTGAATTTTTTTATTTTGGCTCAAGTCTTCCAGCCCATCAACCCATAACCGTGTTCCCTCAAAAAATACAACCCCTCCTTTTTAAAAATCTCACATAGTAACATTCATTCTACCTGTCACAATCATGACACACACATGATCAGATCCTCCATATTATTTCACTACAAGTCGCTCTCACTTACAGCTGATTGGCCACAAATAAACATTAAGTAACTTAGTACACGGATCAGTCATACAGACATTCTGTAAGCCGTGCCAACAGAAATGTGCGAGTAACGGCGGCCATCACAAGCCGAAATCCAAATAAACTAAAAAAAAAAAAGGCAGGACCACGAAGAACTCGCAACTGTGTCATTACATCACATCCAGTGACGTCTGGACAGGAGACGGATGTGATATACTGCAGTCTGATCTTTGTTTATTACAGTAAATGATGGACACAGTTGTTAATCCCACCTTATCCCAAAGGTTCCACAGCCCTATCACAGGCTGTCTCTAGGACACCAGGGCTTCTCTGATTGGCTAGTCAGTCTTAAGCGATGACTGCAGCTTCCAGGCTCCAGTGAGGTAGCGCAGGCGAATGAAAACCAGGTCTCGTCCCATCTGCAGCCAGCTCCAAAACGGGACCAGCTTAGATCCTGGGGGGGAAACGCACTCACATTTCAGTCTCAAGTGACACTTTGATGGAAAATATGAAAGTATGCTGACATTTAATACTGATGGATAGCAAGTCATTCATCAGAGACTTCATCTAGCAAGTACCAAGCAGGTGTTGAAAATATATTTTATAATCTGAGTGAAGCATCAGCAGGAAAGAAAGAGAAAAACAGATAAACAAAGCTAAAGAGAATAAAATTTAAAAGAGAATAAAGCCCACAAAGATGACCATTTATAAACACCTACACCATGCAATCATTTACAAGATGTTAAAATAGGAATTACGAGACGTTAAAGATATAAAATCCGCCAATCACAGACTTACAAAAGCATCCAACAGAGATATTTATAGAACAACAATATAGCACAGTTGGAAAACACATGTCCACATGAAAATCCTACCTTCTATTTCAGTCCAGTTGACTGCCACCTCTGCTATGGGGATTTTAAAGCACTGGGCGATATACAGGAGCTCCACATCAAAAGCCCTTTGAGAGGAGAGATAAAAGTGCACAACAGATGTTCAGACGCTGCATTAAAATTCATGACATTCATGTTCAAACAATACGCAGCCTCTCTTATCAGACAATGTTTTAAATACTTTTTATTCATGAACATTTCTTACATTATAAGGGCAATAAGCAAAGAGGAATAAGAAAAAAAATAAACAGCAGAAGGGTGACAAATATGAGGTCATGGGATGTTTAAAAAGTCAAAGCATATTTCTTAATTAAAGCAGCATCTCACACACGGTACATGAAATAATCACTTGAAATTGGTCTCTTTAGCTTAATAAACATTTTTTTTTAAACCATTTTTCTCACAATGCTTTTGGAGGTCATATGCAATAGCTCGTCTTTTACCAGACAATGCTAAAGCCCCTACAAACAAAATTTAAAGGTACAAATTCAAGACTTTATTTTTGGTAGCTGCTTGATTGATTGAGTCTGCATGTAGAGATGTCCTTACGTGCTGTTTATGGGTCATTGTCAGGACCATTTTTTCCAGCAGCTCAAAATCAAAACATAAAAGTCATTTCTTTCATAATTTAGTGGGATTTTATGTTTCTAATTATAAGGAACACAGGTAGCAAGTTATATACATCCTGTGAATATAATTGAGTTCATCTTATTTCCATATACTCTATCTTAACACCTTATTTTGAAAAGTGGACGTAAAGTTTGAGTACATATGTGCTTACCATCGCTCTACGTGGAGACAAGAGAAGGTCTTGAGTGCCGCCTCACGTGTGAAAAGCTTGAAGCCACACTGTGTGTCTCTGATCCCTCTCACGCAGAAGAACCACACCAGGAAGTGGAAGCCATACATGAGGAATGTGCGAAACACAGATCGCTGTGGCAGAAACACAACACTCATTATTTAACAGTTAGACGGGCACAGTCTATAATGCTGCAAGAAAAAAAAGAAGACAATTACCTGAGCTACTGAGTCTTGCTCTAGGTGAGCTCTGGAACCACAGGAAATCGCCATATTCTCCTAAATGTACAGACAGGCATTTTTAGGACAGCCACACACTAACCACCTCTTCTTGATACATGTATGTAAGACAGCGCAACAAAACTGAACAGGGCCACACCGGTTTGGGGTTGAGGTCATCAAGTCCAGCCTCCACCTTTTCAATGTCAGCAAACTTTGTGGCTCCATCAGCATCTGCCATGAGAATGAATTTGCCTCTGGAGCTCAGAGTTCCCTTAAAGTGAGACAAAAAAATCAACACAAAGTCAAATCCATACTGTTGTTTTTCTGCTACATCCAGACACAATGCAGTTAAATATCTTCAGTCTCACCATCCGCACAGCTCCTCCTTTCCCCCTGTTCTTCACCAGTGTCAGGACCCGCAATTTATCAGAACCGTACTTCCTACTATACCGCAGAGCAACCTGGCGGGACAGCACAGCAGAAAACAAAAAAACACTTTAAAATGTTTGACTAAGCAAAAGTAAGCTCAGAAAAAATAGAACTCCAGGTAAAAATATTCCCAATAAAATATTCAAAATCATCACCTCAGTGGTTTTGTCTTTGCTGCCATCATCAACCACAATGACCTCATAGGTAAAAGAGGGATGCTGTTTCTGCAGTCAGGAAATAACATGAGGGTTAGTTCACAACAGGCACTTTTCAAGTTGAATGCTGCCCCCTACTGGCCACTTTGAGAATAACTGATCCAGTCATAAGTCTGCTGCCTTTAAATGGATGATAAAACTGTCTTTCATTCACATTTAATTATTGAGTAAATCATTTCTAGAGTCTTTTAATTGTGTCTCTTTTATCAGAGTAAAATTAAGTTGTGGTTAAAACTTAGCTTCGCACTGCCCACATGAGGCTGAGCACTCACCTGTCTGTTTTCCAAGTACTCCATAGCTTCATCCAACATCACAGGCACTGTAATGACACAAAGTCACACACATATTAGTAACTGTAACCTGCTGCAGGTGGGCAGTGACATGAAGCCTGAGAGAACAGGATTATGGGATTTAAATTGCACCAATCTGTATGGCAACTGAAGGCTTTACTTGTCAATAGTTGGTGCACAATTCATCATTCAACACAAAGCAAACTGTGCATTTATTGATTTTAAGATGGAGGAATTTCAAGAAGCAAACAAATATATGGCACTTGTAATACACCTTATCTTTTACATTCTACGTGTATCCTGTCAATGTGCAATATAACGCTATTACATAGCTATTTTACATCTGGGTTCACATTACTTTTTACAGTCTGCTGTGTCTGTCAAGCAAGCTGTGAATAGGGCTGCCACTAACGATTATTTTCATTGTCGACTAATCTGTCGATTATTTCTTCGATTAGTAGACTAATCATTTCATCGAAAAATGTGTTAAAATGTTGAAAAATGTTGGTCTGTCTCGCCCAAACCCCAAAATTACGTCATCTAATGTCTTGTTTCGTACTCACGCCGAAGGGTTTTAGTTCACTGTCACGGGAGAGTGTGTAAAGCTGCCAATATTTGAACGTAAGAAGCTGCAATAAGAGTTTTTTGGGGTACTTTTATAGTACTTTTCTATGAAAAATGACTCAAACTGATTTGTCGACTACTAAAATAGTCACCGATTATTTTAATAGTCGATTAGTCGTCAATTAGTCGACTAATCGTGGCAGCCCTAGCTGTGAAACCTCTGTGTCGCCCCCCATTGCTCACTTCTGAGTTCCTCGTTGTAGGCTGGTATCACCACAGAAAGCTCCCTGGAATGGGGATCATGAAGGCTGGGGAAAAGCTCCTTCTCTCCTGTCGGGGTGAGGTAGTATTTCTCCTTCTCATGGCGTGTGACGTTCACCATCCCAGCAGTTACATGTGCTATTATGAGCACCTGAAAAGGGAGAAATATGAGATTAGCACTCCTGTTACTCTTGCCGTGAGGTACTTTTAGAGTGTTGCGTAAAAAATGTGTTGGGTTTTTTTTTTTTAACAAAATGAATAGACAAGAGCTGTGTAACTGTATATAATATTTAAGAACATTTGTATAATGTGTAATACCTATGATAACTACATCTGCATGTTGGAACATCAACTAAAGTCTGTAATGTTGCAGAGGCACAGTCTTTGTGTTCAGAGATTTGACGCAGAGCAGAAATAAATCTCATGAACTCTGAATGTTTTTATCTTGTGTCATGCTTTCACTTTATGCTTAATTTAATATAATTTAATTAAAAAATTAAACTTGACAGGGAACCTATTTGTCACCATTTGTGTGAGGGACTTAAAAGTGTGTGACACATCACATTATCTTACATTAGGCTCGTTCGAGATGAACTGCGCCTCGCCTGAAAAGTAGACGAGAGCAGGCGGCCGCAGCGGGGGGCGGTAACAAAAAGCTGCGGTGAAGTCGGACAGTTTCCCGACAGTGTCCAGCAGCCTTCAGTCCGTACAGGAAGTCACAGACATACTAACATCCTGTCTGGAATGATGTCAACTTATTAAAAAAGTGATCAGGCCCATATATCAGTTTGTTTTCACCATCAGTCACACAACATGTTTTCTGTTCACAGAATAAACCTTCAGATCAGACAAATACAATTTTAATCTCTAAAATACAACAAAAATGAGTAGTTTATCTAAAACGTCATCTTGTTGGGTCGGCATCTGAACCAATGAGCTGTTAGATCAGGTGAGAGCCAGGCGGTGCAGTCGGTGGAGAGCAACTGCAGCGCCTGGCTCTAAAAACTGCGGCCGCCTCGCTCTCGCGGCTTTGTCGCCGTCCACTTTTGTAATACGTCAGAGCAAGTCGGGATGAAGTCGGACACAAAACTAACCGGCATGCACTGTGCGTCGATCGCCGGTGATCGAATCTGCACAGGACTGGCTCATCTCGAACGAACCTATTATTTCCTGTTTAAATGGATGTGATATTGGTGCTTTGATGTAATTTTAAAATGTTTAAAATTAATTCTTGAATCATTTTGTTAATAAATATTTTATGACTAAGAGTTGGTTGTCAATTGTTCTTTGATTTTTAGTAAATAATAAATATTTATGTTGTGATAAGAGTGATAACACATTCATTGTCTTTGCATTTCCATAACATATGTTGTATTGAACTGTGTTTTTGAATCTTAGTTTTCTTTTCCTTCTTTTTTTTTTTTTTTTTGGACAAGTCTGTGATATATGTTATGGTATACATGTTTTAGTATAGAATAAAGTTAAATCAAATATTTTACTCTTTTTCATTACTTTACATATCCTGTATTTTACTACTCTTAAGGATTTCGTTTTCCAGATTTAAGTGGTCTACTAAGTCATGACTTTCTAACATTACCAACTAAATATAAATGCTTATAATAAAACGCAGAAAGACAATAAAGTATCATGAAATCAGGGGAAGGTGCAGGATGAATATTTTGCTCACTGACTGACATGGAGGGAAAAAAGACACAGAAGGAAATCCACAGTGTCATCTGTCAATCCGTGGGAGCAACAGCTTTTGCTTCACTATACAGACATCAAACATTTATTTACATAACATACAAAAGATCTCTAAAGACACCATATTAACTCCAAATGATGTCCACTTACCACAATGAAACCTAGAGCTGCCAATGCGACCAAGGCTTGAACTATTTCACAGAGGAAATCCATTTTCCATAAGTTAGCCTGCAGCCACAGGCAGACCACCACTCAAAGTGGCTAGCTAAAAAGCTAGCTTGTTTTCTCCTTTCCTCCTTCGTGTCTCGTGGCCGGTCCTCTGTCTTCCCAGGACATACAAGAAAATACAAGCTAACGAGATTGTTTTGACGGTGGAAGCGCTAAATAAGAACCCCTATATCTCCATTACTCTGTGGGCAGTTCACTGAACTCCACTTCCAATCACATATGCACACAGCTGCGATGCGGAAGTGACTGCGTTTTCTCGACACATCATCAGTTAGAGGCAAGAGAGCACCGAGCCGCTCGGAGACAGCCTGCAGCGATACCACAGTGACACCTAGTGGTCGGGAGTGGAACTGCAAGAACACCTTCATTGATAGAAATAATAAGAGGGGTTTGAGTCTCTTTCATGTAGGCTAATACACAGGTATGAAATATAATATAATCAAATAACATTGATTATCAGGAGCAGTCTGTTGTTTTCACCATTTTATTTCTTCCCACCATTGTAGTTCATTTTTAGTAACTCTTGTACTTGGCACTGGTTTTTGCTTCTGCTTCTTGAAAACACTATCTTGTATATTTTTGCCAGATATCTAATGATGTAAAACACGAGTTGCACTTGCTGTATGAACTGTGTTATACAAATACAGTTATTATTATTAGCATTATTTTTTATTATTTATATATATTTTTTCATTGTTATTATTCATAGTATAGTAGTAGTAGTAGTAGTATTACAAACCCCATAACACCCAGTAAGGACACTTCAAATCAGACTGTGATAGGAATCAAAATGGTCAAAGATGCAGTTTATGCAATCAACTTTGATAGAATGATTTTGACATAAATTTTTCACACTGAAAAGCCTAAATTTAAATGAACAGTTAATTCATTTATTCGGAGTGTTTAAAAACATCACAGAGTTTACCCAGAGGAATACTGAGCAAGGTAACATTGCACATTTCCAACCAAACCTGTCAAAGAAATGCAACGAGAGCCCCACAGCTGTGGATCTCCTTACCTTAGGAACTTAGACTGGCAAACTCGGTGTGTTCGTTTGAAACACTCCTCAAAACACACTTTTTACAGTAAATCTGTTGTGTGTCTAGTTTGTATCCTTCTTTTATGAATTTAATTTTTGCATTTATTCATTTTTCTTACACAAACTGATTTATCTGGTCTTAGCCTATATTCAGTGTTTTATTGCTGTTTTTATCTTGATGTAAACTATTTAATTTGTCTCATAAAGCACCTTGTAACTGTGTTTTGAAAAGTGCAGTACAGATAAAGTTTATTATTACTGATATTATTACTTCTACCGACTCTTACAGAAACTGTGACGACACTAAACATTCATAAACCACAGACTACAGATCACTGAACACAAGTGATAAACCAAAAAACGAAGATGACATCGTTTTTAAAAGCGTATTTCGCCGTTGAAATTTCGGCGGGCAGGCACAACTTCCGCACAACACCTGCCCGGCCACCGTAGTACGCTCACCGAACCCACGTGGTTAATCAAAACATCATGGCGGCTGGTTTCAAGTAAGACTGATTAGAGTGTTGCGATTTTACCGAAAGAAACATTTTACTTGTGTCATTCTGAGTTATTGAATTAATTTACGAGTTGCGCCACATCAGATCCGACCATTGACTGACTTTAGAAAAAAGTAACATTCGCATTTCATTCAGACCTGATAAAGAGTCGTGTCCTGTTCCTGTGACAAGTTCAACCATGTTCATATGTCTGTCAGCTGAATAGTTAGCTCATACACGACTGAAGCAGTAACAAGATCATTTAATGAGGCATTAATGTCACTGATCCGATCACAGGAGTCTGAAACAGTTATCTGACATATAAATGAATTCTGAATCACAGGCGAATAAGTGAATAAGCAGATCTGTCACTGCTGATATAAGTGTGTTTCTAACAGTGTCTGTCTCTGTAAGCTCATGTCCACTCACCTCTTCCTCCCTTCTTTACACCTCCAGGACTGCAGAGCCTCTGGAGTACCACAGGAGCTTCCTGGTCAGTGATGAAAACACAAAACAGTTGTCCACACTCATAGTTTACATGAGTTTGCACTGCAGACTGAGTAATACTGTATTATATTTGCCCTTTTTCAGAAAGAAAACTGTCGACCTGATGGACGGGAGCTGTTAGAATTCAGAACCACAACACTAAATATAGGTGAGATACAGCAATGATTCATATCTGCAGTATAAATTACATATTTGTTTTCTTTTAGTCTACATGTGATACTTTTCTCTGCCTGCTCTGTTCAGGGTCCATATCCACAGCAGATGGCTCAGCCCTGGTGAAGGTCGGGAACACCACAGTCATCTGTGGCATCAAGGCGGTAAATGACCATGAACACAGCAGTGAGGGTGCTGTCACACCTGTAGTTTGGTTCATACGGTCTGCACCAGAGTTTTGGTTCAGTTCCTGTTCACACTGGCTTTTTGCAAACGAACAAAGAGGAGTAAATGTAAGCTTCTACTGACTGACAGGTGACTTGCTGATCCTGCATCATCAGGACGCACGTGGAGAAATCAGATTCTGGTGACTGACAGACGTTTATGCAGCAGCACTTTAATGCTTGCAAAGTGTTTATATTTATGTTCTTTGGTGTCACAAGGAGCTCATTGTAAGCATTATTAGACTGCAAATCAAGCACGTTATGAATAATGACTGATATAGAGACATCATGAAAAGATGATGATTTGGGGCTCAATACTGTCACACACTTTTTTAATTGACCTAATGAACAAACAGAGTACACCGTGTCGGATACAATCATGGCAGATTTAACAGCTTTTGAATCAGGAAAAATGCCCACACTGACATGCATATGTTTTACCATGGTTACATGTATGCATTATCAGGATCAATTATGAGATTGCGGACAGATTTAATGATCAACAGATACATTTATTATTGGTTGAGCTGCTAAAATCACTTATCTGCTATCATAAATTCCTGTGGTGGTTCGTTTTCTTTCACAACAAACAAACTGCACCAGAGTCCGTTTGGAAGCAAACCGAGACCGACCTCTTCGAGTGATTTCAGTTCTTTTTTTTGGTAACCACCAGGGAGTTGACAGCTTTCACACCAGATCAAATGAACCGTACTGACCACGCAAATAGACCTGAGTTCGCTTTTACCAAATCAAACAGGTTAGGTGTGAAAGCACCCTAGAACACTTTATTTCACTGAATCTGGAACAGGTGACCCAAATGCTCACTCATGTCTTGTGTCCTTGATCCCCAGGAGCTGGCAAACCCTTTAGTGGAGACACCTGGTAAAGGATACATAGGTAAGTACAGTGTGAAGGTGTCAAGTGTTGATTTAAGGGAAGGTACACCAACAAATACTGACTGCAGAACTCTTACCATCTTTGTCAGTGCCCAATTTGGACCTGTCGCCGCTGTGTTCCTCTCGGTTTCGGCCGGGTCCACCAGGAGAGCAGGCGCAGGCTGCCAGCCAGTTCATCGCTGATGTAATCGAAAGGTGTGATAGACTTGAACACACTTTACTTTTCATTTGACAGCACCATCAGATTTGTGATCATTCTCTTAATGCCTGCTACTGCTCTTAGAAAGTTTGTTGTATGTGTGTTGCAGCTCTGAGGTGATACAAACAGAGGACTTGTGCATCGACAGGGGAAAGGTAAATCCTTGCACACTGACCGGTGATGACAGACTGCTGTATGTGTTTGGTGTTTGGTTCTGATTGTGCCGATTCTGGTTGTAGCTCTGCTGGGTGCTCTACTGTGACATGATGTGTCTCGACCACGATGGGAACGTGTTGGATGCTTGTGTCATTGCCCTGCTGGCTGCCCTCAAGAACAGTATGTACTGTTAATAAAATAAGTAGCAACAGAGCTCACAGTTTGGTTTGGTTTTAAGGTTCCCTTTATATGTCAGAATTTGTTTATGATCATTATAAATCTCTGCCTGTCTTTGCAGTATTATTCCAGCACATACTCAGGCCCATGTGCACAACTATCCACTATTTTTATGGCCGTACCACAGAGATGTATCTGTGTTTTTTTTAGCTATTTTTTTAAAGTATATTAACAGTATCCTTTCTCTCCACAGCACAACTCCCAGAGGTCACCATCAACACAGAGACCGGCGCACCACAAGTAAATTTAGAAAAGAGATGTGGGCTGCATATTCACAAACATCCAGTTGGCGCCTCTTTTTGTGTCTTCGATGAGTAAGCAAAGAATTTTTTTCACTTTGTCTAGCCAGGGTATAAAAAAAAACCTGTATTCTGAGTTTTGTAATCTTGGTCTGCTCTCTGCACAGCTCCATACTGATCGTAGACCCCACAGCTGAGGAGGAGAGTCTGTCGACTGCTCACCTCACTGTGGTGACAGATGAAGAGGCTCGACTCTGCGTTGTACACAAACCAGGTCAGAAACACAGTCTGTAATGATTGGCCTCTCTGCGTGCAGTGTGTTCTCAGTGTGAATCCAATTTCTTGTTTACTATGCAAAGTAAAATGCAGGCCCGAGGAAGCTGATCTACCCTATACAGTTTTTAGTTTTGTTAAAGAATACAACAGAAAATCAATTTCTACATTAAATCCAGCTCATTTGGGGAATTATTGTGTACTTTAACAGTACTTTTAGAGTCAGAAATGTTTGGAAAAAAAGGCTAAATAGCAGCCAATATGGGTCAGAAAGTCTAATCGAAGCTGCTATTTTATTTACTCTCCATTTTCAATAATCAGAATCAGTTTAATAGCCTCAATTCCCACCACTGCCTCTTTCTGTTGCTGGTAATTGCCATTTCTGTAGAGATTTCACACACTAAACATTCAGAGTTTTGGAGGTAGCAGTGTGGTCTAGCTTTGTCTGTCTTCTGATCTTTAATTTTTCACTTGCACTTAGAACAGTGACGTATCTGGGGGGAATAAGACTGAAGTTTTAATTCAGCTGAAACTTGAGAATCAGGGGTGGCATCATAAAATGAGTGAGCTTTGATGTGTGTGATGAGTTAAGTGAGACACGGTCTACCTATGCTGCTCAAATTTTAAGTCCTCTCATTGGAAGAATAAGGATTACATCCCAGTACAGCTGTAAACCAACTAATGGTGCATGAACGCAGCTCCTGCAGGGTGTCTGCAGGTATCAGACACTTAAATTTAATGCTTTTTGAGACCTTAACAAGATTATTTTAACAATTTTAAGACTGATTTTTGGATAAAAAAGTCTTTTGATTATT